TGGTACAAGCGATTTGCTGCGGAAAACGCCGAATGACAAGAAAAATGGACATAATAGGCAATGGCAAGAATGGCGAGAATTCTGAAATTAGTGCCTCCATATTACTTAATGTGGCTTAATTTCTTGCCATCTGTGTAATATTAATTATTTCCTCATCCGGCGATATTTCTTGACATCGGTAGTTATAAAGAGTAGCTTAGGCGATAGCAGAGCATTATCTTCAGCCGAGATCTTTAATTAGATCTCTATCCTTGCAATTAGAATAGTTCTCTATATTCTATTAAAGCAAACGTATTTATTATTGTTAATTCTGGTTAAAAGATAGTCTCTGTTACTATTGAGATACAAAAAACGTACTCTCCGACCGCGCGTCCTTCAGGTTATACTCGCCCTTAACCGCGAAGCCGTCTTTCGTATCAGAATTATTATTTATTTCTTTCCGCAAGTTTAGTAATTTAGTTTCCCAAACCCCGATAGACTATTAGTTAATTCCGCTAATAGAAATCGACGTAATTTTCGAGGATAAATAATAATTCAGGAGAAACGTATACAAGACCGATATTAGATTGTGAGCGTAAATCGTAGTTTAAACGTCACTGATGTCAATCGTTTCGTTTGAAAAGAGCTAAATCTCCCGTATACCAATGCTCTCCCGCTCGGCAGCAGTAATTCCAACATCGTGTGGATCTGTTGATATTGCGGCTGGCATAAAGGTATTAGTAATCAAAGGGAAGCATTTCTGTCTACTCATTTACCAAAGTGTTAGTTTAAAAAGTTGTAAATTATACGTCTGTTCTATTGGCAGTTGTGGTGTGTTACAGTGCGGTGTATAAACAATGGTTTGTGGTGCAGCGGTTAAAACTACCAAAATAAGTTTAAGTAATGGCTTATTTGTAATCATTATGACAATTGCCATATTAATATTAATATGTAATTAGTGCTTGGAATTTTAATTTTATTTCAAGGGTGGTAGAATCAGTTTATTTATTTGAATAGTGACAGTAATGATGGTAAGTTAAAACTTTATTTTGTTACTACTTGTTCTAGTTGTTTATATTTTTCTATAATGGTATTATTACCAGTTACTTTATGAAAAAATTAAAATTTTAGTCAAATATTATGTAAGGGTAGAAGGACTTAAGAAATTATCAATAAATTTTGGAATAGAGTCAGTGTCATACACGGCAATTTGAACATGCTGTTACAAAACTCCATTAAAGCTTTTCAATATTTTCATTATTAAGATTAGATGAGTGATATGACTTGAGGCCTTGAACTATTAGATTTCTTCCTTCGTCAGTTGTTTGCCTTGAATAATCATACCTCTCAAGAAACATTGATTTTGCTAAATCGTAGTTCAAAGGTTCAAATTCCAATAATTCTTGAGTATACTCTGTAGGCAAGAAATAGATGTCTATGGTAGATGCTCCTGTGCATATTCAACTGATCGATCACTGCTCATACGACGATTAGTTCAGATAACAAAAAGCAAATTGATTCTCTAAAACAAGCAAATCTGCAAGATTATTTTACTGTTACAATATTATTATAATTAGTAAAAGACCCAATTAAAAAGGCTTAATTACGTGATTCTCGATAAGCCGGTCATTAGAGGTCAACCGGTTGGCTGACTTATCGAGACTGACCGTGTATTTGGTTTTACGTTATCGTTTCGATGCTATTCGTTTTCGTTAAATGGTACGCCTTTTACATATTTAACACTATGAAAAATTTTCGTGTGTTAATATAATACTATATTGGGATATCATTCGCAAGTAAAGCGTGACGTATTGATTAGGTGTGCGTTTTGGTTTCATATTGTTTGCATTTTGACGCGCACCTAGTCATATTTTATTATTTTTAGTAAATCCTCACCTTCTATCATACAAAGACAATATTTTTTTATTAACAATCTCATGGTATTTATTTCTTGAAATTTGCTGTTTATTCAAAGTGTAATTATAGAGAAACCGGTAGAGTTGCGTAAGTATCTACAGAAACCACAAGGAATCGAAGCTGAGAAACTGTCTAAAGGTGATTCAAAGAAAATGAAAAAACGAAAGTGGAAAGCAAAAACTGGTGGTCTTGTTGATCGTGGTGCTCTAACGTATTTGGTGTCATTATTAACGCTAATGAGCACTTGTAACCAACTCTTCATAGTTCCTATTGTACAAAATTATAAATAGAATTTATAACAAGTTATCTTTACTTTTTTTTAGACGCATCGTTTTGTTGATAGGAAGATATCAAATTTACGTATCGCCGTATTGGGTTGTATAAATCGATAATCAAATCTCCCGCCTATTCCCAGAACAATTTAGTTTTCAGAAAGCTACCCTTTTTTTGAATACGTAATTAATCAGATCAGCGCTGTTTGTGTCACATTCAAGCAATCACACAATTGCAATTGAATCGACGCCATTGTCAAAAGAGATCACCATCCCTATCAAACTTGAGCAAAAAAAAGTAAACCATCCCAAATCTGATTACTAAGCAACACTATATTGTTACACATTCCTTTAATGCTATCAATGTTTTGCACATCACTAGGTCAAGAATAAAATAGCTGTGGGAGGCTACAAAGAAAACATGAACTTCCAAGCTCTTGATTTAGAAAAGAGATTTGGAGCCGCAACATTATGGTACACAACTATTCTAATAAACCGCGCAACGTTCTATTTGACCACAATTTCCTGGTTGCGTATCGAAATTTTACCAATCTAATCTAACCGACCGTTCCTTCTCAATCACAGAATAAGAAAGCATCAACTTCGTCTGCGTCTCTGAAATGAATTCGGTGTTACGTCTCCCTCATCACATAACGTTTTTAGCAATAAATCCAACACATCATTTATTTTAAGCTGGACATCTTGTGATAAAAATAGTAATGCAGGATATATCTCGTGCATTCACACGACTAGGACAGAATAATTCAACAGTGAAAAATGAAGATAATGAGCTGGCCCAAATTTTTGGTTAATATTGCCAAATTGATTTACAATCTCTTGTACCGCCACAGCCACCTTTTGGCTGTGTTGCCATAGCCTTTATAAACACCCCCCGCTTTCCAAGCCATTCTCACTCAGATTGCGATAAATACTGAATCAATTGACTGGAAATAAAACGATACCAACATCAATCATAATAATGTCAAACAGAACATCTAAAGTTGTTATATTACTACTCGTCACTGTGCTCATCCTTGGACCAGCTGCATACGCGTTTCCTGCGACCAACACTTATTCTTCAGACAATGCCAATGTTCCAACAAGTACATATAGCGACTATAGCCAGGCTACCCCGACTTACGATTCTGGATGTGCATGTGTTAATATCGGCTCTATAAAAGGTACGAATTATCAGATCCACGGTTGACAGCTCCACTAATTGAAAGAACATACCATTCACGTAACGCTCTCACTCATCACAACTAATTTTCTAATACTGCGTTCAATAGATCAACCAACCAATTACGTTCCAGAAGCAGTCAAAGTTCCCGATGAATATAAATTCAAATTCTTGCTTTACGCATCTGGATATCAACACTATCAATGCAAGGTTGGAGCACAGGGACAACCAGGAAATTGGACGTTTGGTAAGTATAGAGTCAGGTTAGATAATGATGCCAACCTATTATTCATAACAACATTCTTGTCATACAGTTGGACCTGTCGCATATTTAATAAACGACATCCGTTATAATTCGTTTGAAAATGTTTGTGATCGAGTTGTTTTTCACCATTTAGAGGTAAAGTAGAACAAATACATTTGGTTTAAAATATGCATCATTAATTGTCTTGACACTTTACTCTTTATTTTTGCCTTTTCATGTTCTTATTACATAGAAAATCGATAACATTAGTGGGTAAGTGAACAGTCGTCGAAACTTTTTCGTTTCTTGCAACCATTTAATTTCAATTTTGGTTCTGTCGAAATAGAGTGGCATGGGGTGGTATAATTCCAACAGACCAATCTATGGTTGTCGCCAACCCGGTCATGACTTTCCCTTCTCCTGATGGAGAGAACAATATTCCGTGGTTGCTGGCCAAAGCTAATTACAACTCTGTGAGTATACGTCAACATGGTGAACGTAACCCAAGGGTTGTGTACAGATTTACTGACGTTAAATCATTTTATAATAAGGGTGTTGGCGTATTCAGTGATGTCACATACATCTACCGCACCGAGACATACGGAGGTAAAGCCCCACCGAATGAGAAATGGTAAGTCGCATAGTTTTTTGTAAAATTTTACTAGTGTTACTGTTACTATTACTGATCCGAATCTAATCAATAGTGGCACCGAGTTTTCTGATGGTTACGAGTATGCTAGCCCATACGAGGCTCAGTATTGGTATTATCATTAGTAGAACGTTAAATAATGAGGACATTTGAAATCGACTTTTATTGTATAAAATCTACATAATTGGGCAAGAAAATTAACTGACACTGCTGCGGCTGATGTGGCTGAAAATGAACTAATTTATAATTTAAATTAGCTGGTGACATTTAGCATTAGTGTTAATATAGTATGGCTCATGCCTAACAGCTTTTAGTATATAAACCTACGGCGAAATAAACAATTTATATTTATTTTAATACTTTCTGTGTTATAAATGAATGTAACTAGCATGCCATGTACAAAAGCAAAACAAAAACACTGACCAAGACTATAGGCGGTTCAGCCGACAGGGAAATTTTAACCTTGTTAGCTCAGTTGCGTTCAATTAAGACAGGATGCGTGAGTTTGTAAATGACTTTTTGCGCGCGCTTATCCTACTCCTACACGTTATGATGACAACGATTATTATTCAACAGAGTCGAAGAGAAATGCATCTCCTAATTTAAACAGGAAAGAATAAAAGCATCATTTTCAATAATTAATTATAAGTTTGCTTTCCTGCTTAATGACAATTAAGCGTACTAACTCCAGCAGATATTGAGATAAATAAAGGATGTGCAATTTTGAAAAAAAATTGTGGATAAAACTATTGATTAAATGTCAACATAATCATTCAACGTGTTATTTTGGAAATGGAATTATGGTTGCTTATACATTAACTGGCAAAAAAAATCAAGATTATAAATACATAATACATTCTCGTCCACCCTCAATAACCACGCTATACTGTTCTCTTGACATTACTCCAATTACCGTATTAGTTATACATATAAAAATCAATAAAAGACTAATTTTTTAAAAAATCTGTATTGGCATCATTTACTAAGCAAATGACCAAAAATTTTTACATCTTATAAAGATGATTGATTGTACTTTCGAATAAAATACTCATAAATTTACACAAGTCACTGTAACGGAGCTGTTACCGCTGAATAATGTGCCATTTTATTCCGCATGCAAACAAAAAGATGAATTTTTTAATAAAATATAACGCGCGTATCAAAACCCTAGATCTTACACGTCCCGTATTTTATATTCCTGTACACGTACACGTCGATAAACTCAACATAGAATTTTTTTTTTTATAGTCGCTACATTATAAAGTTGTGTAATCAACGATCATACGAGTCATGTTTACACTTGTTCTTAGAAACGTCTTAAAATAAAGAAAGGTTTTATTGTAACATAATCTGAGCACCATGAACAGTTAATCATCACAAATACGATAACCACACCACACGCCCCAAAAAACTCTAATGCCTAGAGTTAATAACATTTCACTTGCCTCGTCTGTCAAACTGTTACTCAGTTCAGTATCAGGTATTAACCTTCGCAGCAAGACGTTGAGTATAACCCTCCTGTTATAACAGTAATCCGTACAATTATATCATCGTATCATAGACAAATGAATTCTTGGATAATATCGGAGTCTACTTTCGGTTCAGTGAATTCGAGAATGAACCCTCAAAAAGTAATAAACAAAGTTAATCGTCATATTTCTAGAAATTTACCCTACATACTCGGAATCGAAGACGCTTCTTCCGTAAACGATATATTCTCTTTCATTTATAGTATTGGCTATAAATAATTAATTTTTACTAGTTCGAGACAAACACGAGTCTACAACCGTGATTGTCTGTAAATTTTTAGCCCAAACGTGTCTATATAGCAAGTTTCTCAGAACCAAAACTTTTATATCGAGTCCCATGTGCAATTTAGTCGGTTTTCCCTTCTGCACCTCTGCACCAACGTAACGCAGATATAAAACTTTTTGAATAAAATGTGAATGACACTAGGACCATATGATATATGTATTTTGAAGTTTACGTAGAAATAAGAATTTGCTATTTGATATGCCGTATACGTTTTGGAGGTAAATATTGAACAGTTTAACAAACTTTCACATAAATTCCAAACAGTTGTCGATATATGTATGATCTTTATAATTCAAGCAAGTTCTGTTTAATAACTAACGAATACAGTAAACGAACTCATAACTATGTAAACCAAGGGGGTGTTTTTTCTTTTGTAATTTAAAACAATTTATGCGCCCATAATATATGAGGCACACAAGGGGGAAAAAACGTAACTGTCATTTTGAACGGCGTAAGAAAGTGTCGAATAAATATGTAATAATCAAATCAACACTGTGGAAACTTAATTAGGAAGATCGGGCAAAACGAAGTCTTATTTGCCATACTAGCAGCTAACCTAAAGTTTTGTGAAATGATCGCAACACCATATTTTAGCACAGACCAATAAAAAAGTTCGATATTCTATATTGTCAGACATGACATAAAAAGTTTCCGCATGAAAAATACTGTCATAATCTGGAAAGCTTTAATTAATCTTTTAGTAAAGTTGAATTATAATATACACTCACTGGACAAAAGTCTACGTAATTTTTGCCGATCAATTAGTAAAACATATGAAAAAGCTATTTTTTCAA